ACTTACAGTTAAGTGAGTGCATACATTTTTCATACTGGCCCCCCGTGGGAATCAAACCCACAACCTTGGCGTTGCAAACGCCATGCTCTACCAACTGAGCTACAGGGGACTAATCACCCTGTGTATGAAAGTGCTGCTCAGGGCCGGATTAATGCAGGTGTTTACCCGTGGGTGGCCCAAGAGGAAGCAAAAAATATAATAGAAATACATACAAAAAATTATTATATTACAATATAGGAAATATATACAGTATATATTATATACAGTGCATTCGGAAAGTATTCAGACCCCTTGACTTTTTCCACATGTCTTCTTGGGCATGACACTATAAGCTTGTGACACTGGTATTTGGGGAGTTTCTCCCGTTCTTCTCTTGAGATCCTCTCAAGCTCTGTCACGTTGGCTGGGAGTCATATGGCAGAAAACTGAAACATATCAACATATCGACTTTCCCACAGTCATGAAATGCTGTGACATTATGCACAATTTAAAATATAAGGCCTTTTAACTTGCATTGATGGTCTCTCTAATGTCTGACTTTATCTGACTTCTATTTCCATCATGTTAAATATTAGCCACTATCAGTATCGACCGTCAGTAGGCCTAATAACAACACATATTAATTACATTGAATATTTACCGTTAGTTCCCTTCAGTTTTTATAGCCTACATTATCATTCCATATAATGACATTGTTTCATTGACCTTCATCGCGGTCGTGTAGTTGTTTGCTGAGGATCATTAGTAACGGTGGATCATATAGAGAAGACGTGTAGACTAGTTGAATGGTTTACGGAGAGGAGCGCAGACCAAGCCGTGACAGCTTGAAGCCGAGACGTGTAGACTAGTTGAATGGTTTACGGAGAGGAGCACAGACCAAGCCGTGACAGCTTGAAGCCGAGACGTGTAGACTAGTTGAATGGTTTACGGAGAGGAGCGCAGACCAAGCCGTGACAGCTTGAAGCCGAGACGTGTAGACTAGTTAAATGGTTTACGGAGAGGAGCGCAGACCAAGCCGTGACAGCTTGAAGCCGAGACGTGTAGACTAGTTGAATGGTTTACGGAGAGGAGCGCAGACCAAGCCGTGACAGCTTGAAGCCGAGACGTGTAGACTAGTTGAATGGTTTACGGAGAGGAGTGCAGACCAAGCCGTGACAGCTTGAAGCCGAGACGTGTAGACTAGTTGAATGGTTTACGGAGAGGAGCGCAGACCAAGCCGTGACAGCTTGAAGCCGACGCATGGCGCACTACTTGGCTATGTCGTCACACAGTTCCATGGTCAGATCTGGAAATGTTACAGAATAAATGTGTGTGTGTGTGTGTGTGTGTGTGTGTGTGTGTGTGTGAGTGTGTGTAATAGAAGAGGGCATAGAGGGTATTCTACTATTGTACACTGTTCTCCCTGTTCCATGACATAGACTGACCAGGTGAATCCAGGTGAAAGCTATGATCCCTTATTGATGTCACCTGTTAAATCCACTTCAAATCAGTGTAGATGAAGGGGAGGAGACGGGTCAAAGAAGGATTTTTAAGCCTTGAGACAATTGAGACATGGATTGTGTATGTGTGCCATTCAGAGGGTGAATGGACAAGACACAATATTGAAGTGCCTTTGAACGGGGTATGGTAGTAGGTGCCAGGCGCACCGGTTTGTGTGTGTCAAAAACTGCTACGCTGCTGGGTTTTTCACGCTCAACAGTTTCCCGTGTGTATCAACAATGGTCAACCACCCAAGGACATCCAGCCAACTTGAGTCAATGCCCCGACTAATTGTGGCTGTTCTGAGGGCAAAAGGGGGTGCAACTCAATATTAGGAAGGTGTTCCTAATGTTTTGTACACTCAGTGTATTTACATATCTTTCTTTCATTCATCCATGCATTCTAGTGAGTCTGTCGATTAAATTCAAATTAAAGGTACACCGTATTTAAAGGGATGGCTTAAGATAAAATGTATTGAAAACCCTATCGAATGAAAACTCCATGCGAAAATCTATTGGCCAGCAAGTGTTTTTTTTGTTGTTGTTTTTTTGCAGTTGACTTACATTTATTCAGCACGCGCAAGGAAACCACGCCTGCAAAGCCTGTTGTGCAACTCCATAAGGGAAGTCTGAATACCAACTACTTAGGAAATCACGCCTTGAACCACGTTACAACTTTACCATAAGACATGTCACATGAATGGTGTGACGTCAGGTTATTTCAGAGAAAACTAAATGGAAATCACCTGTGGCTATAATGTGTCTTCAAATACCTTTAACCGTAAGACACATTACATCAATGGTGTGCCGTGGTACTTCAGATTAAAAACTAAACTGATGTTAGCCTTAAAATAAATATGGATCAAGTGGAAAGCGTCAAAGCACTCCACACTTTATCATTAAAATCTATTATTTAGAAAAACATTTCTGCTCATCAAAAATGTCTTCTTTTTCATACTGAACAAAAATATAAATGCAACATGCAAACAATTTCAAAGATGTTACTGAGTTCCAGTTCATATAAGAAAACCAGTCAATAGAAATAAATAAATTAGGCCCTAATCTATGGATTTCACATGACTGGGCAGGGGCACAGCCATGGGGTGGGCCTGGGAGGGCATAGGCTCACCCACTGGGGAGCCAGGCCCAGCCAATCAGAATGAGTTTTTCCCCACAAAAGGGTTTTATTACAGACAGAAATAATCCTCAGCGTCCCGTCCCCCGCGACGATCCCGCAGGTGAAGAAGCTGGATGTGGAGGTCCTGGGCTGGCGTGGTTACACATGGTCTGCGGTTGTGAGGTCGGTTGAACGTACTGCCAAATTCTAAAAAATTACATTGGAGGTGGCTTATGGTAGAGAAAAAACATTCAATTATCTGGAAACAGCTCTGGTGGACATTCCTGCAGTCAGCATGCCAATTGCACGCTCCCTCAAAACATCTGTGGCATTGTGTTGTGTGACAAAACTGCACATTTTAGAGAGGCCTTTTGTTGTCCCCAGCACAAGGTGCACCTGTGTAATGATCATACTGTTTAATCAGATTCTTGATATGCCACACCTGTCAGGTGGATGGGATTATCTTGGCAAAGGAGAAATGCTCATTAACAAGGATGTAAACAAATTTGTGCACACAATTTGAGAGAAATAAGCTTTTTGTGCGTATGGAACATTTCTGGGATCTTTTATTTCAGCTCATGAAACATGTTTATATTTTGGTTCAGTGTAAAATACCAGGTTTAGCGCAGTGGACTGGAAAGCAATATTCAGGCTATACATGCACATTTCAAGTACCGTACAATGCAACTACATGTAGACTAATACTGTAGAACTAATCCAACTCAGCTTTCAAATACAATCTTCCAAGGAGCTGGTATGACATGAGGCTCTGACACAGGTAGGTATCACATTTGGTCAGTGTGACGAGTTAGGTGACAAGATAGAGGCTGACAGATACAGGCTGACAGATACAGGGTGACAGACAGAGACTGACAGTTACAGGGTGACAGATACAGGGTGACAGATACAGGGTGACAGATACAGGGTGACAGATACAGGGTGACAGATACAGGGTGACAGATACAGGGTGACAGATACAGGGTGACAGAAACAGGCTGACAGATACAGGATGACAGATACAAGCTGACAGATACAGGGTGACAGATACAGGCTGACAGATACAGGGTGACAGATACAGGGTGACAGATACAGGGTGACAGATACAGGCTGACAGAAACAGGCTGACAGATACAGGATGACAGATACAAGCTGACAGATACAGGGTGACAGATACAGGATGACAGAACGAGGCTGACAGATACAGGGTGACAGATACAGGATGACAGATAATAGGGTTGGTTCAAATAAGGAGTAAAACTTTGAAAGGCAAAGTGACAATTTCATATTATTCCTAAAATAATAACCACATTTCCAGAGGAAAATAAAACCCGTTTGCTGCAAAACGCAGTACATCTTTGATATGTTGTAATGGTCAGGTATATTATCTGATTAATGTGGTATTTAGTTTCCTGACACAAGAACAAGCCAGTTTATCAGAATATATCATGGAGTATCAGAAATTGCTGTTTAGACATAAAAATACTTTGAAGTCAGATTTTGCAGTAAAAAATCAAACGTAGTTACTGCGTTTTGCCTTTGTAGGACAGTATTAAAGTCTTATTGAGCTTATTGTACAAGACACAGTCTATTAGTAGTACATACCCAGCTAGCATTGATGCTAACAGCAAAACAAAACAACAGTCCTTTGATTATTCTTATTATTATTTGCATGTTTGATATGATTTTATATGAACAAGTGGTTGTGACTGCATGTTTGTCCTCTTCTAAAATCCAGAGTAAAACTAAGAACAACAGTAGTTATACTAAACTATGCAATATACTCTACAGCCGCTATACAATGCTAAACTATACTAAACTATACTATGTACTGTATATTGATCACAGATGCAATCCTGCACAGCACAGTACAGTACAGCACCACCGCCTGAGTAGGTCAGAGATATTAAAAACACCATCACAAAGAGACACCATAGAAAAGTACAAAAGTAAAACAACTGAAAGTCTCTCTTGTTCTCGTACAAAAGAACACACGCTTCTGTCATTCCATGATCTGGTTTTGTATGTCATACATCCATCCCGGACTAAATTTACTCAGGGAAAAAAAAAATAACCCTGCAATGTCTGCCCAACATGTCTGTCTGTCTCATTAGACTATGTAAAAAATAGTGACATTAAGCCATTGTAGTTATATGTCACCTTGGCTGACATATGAGTTGTGTAAGATATGTCTGTCTAGTCCATCGGCCATACAGAAATCCTGGGTTTCACCCTTTATGTTTAGCCATTGTATGTCAACCAAGCTGACATATTCATTCTATGAGATATTTCTGTTGGATGTCGGTCATACAGAGGTCCTGGGTTATATGTCAACCAAGCTGACACATGAGTTCTTTAAAATATGTACATTATGTCCAGTCGATATATATATCTCTGTTGAGTCATACAGAGGTCCGCGCTTTCCTGATGACAAGCTGCACGGGGCCTTCGCTGGCGGTCTTGATGATGTTCCAGGCGTCGTAGTGCATGAGGCCCTGCAGCGAGTGCCCGTTCACCTCCAGAACCTCGTCCCCCACGTCCACAACCCGCGACAGCTCCGCAGCGCCACCTAGAGGATGGGAGGAGAACATGGTTAGTCAGGATCATTATGACATGATAATAAGACAATATAAGGGGTTATACTGTGCATGCTTATGACAAGTCTTATAATGTATTATATGTGGGCATCATAATACTTCTTGGCTTTAAAGGGATACTTCAGGATTTTGGCAATGAAGACCTTTATCTACTTCCCTAGAGTCTGATGAACGTGTGGATCCCATTTTTATGTGTGCAGTCTGAAGGAAGTTGCTAACTAGTGTTATGCTAGCAGATACCCATAGATTCCAGCCATTGCGCTAACGCTAGTTAGCATTGGCATCGCTAAACTACCTCTAACTTCCTTCATACTTGATGCAGAGACATAAAAATGGTATCCACGAGTTCATCTGGTGCTGGGGAAGTAGATAAAGGGATTCATTGCCAAAATCCTGAACTATCCCTTTAAGTAAAATGTTACCCATAAGTTTAATGAACACACCTTGTATTTACACAGAGGAGCAGTTTAAGGACTTTGGTTGTGGCTCTATGAAACATGTTGTAATAGATACTTGACTGCACTGCCTCTCCTCTCCTCTCCTCTCCTCTCCTCTCCTCTCCTCTCCTCTTTGTGATGATGTGTTGGCAGACAACTCACTGACCCTGCCTGTTCTGACTAGCATACTGGTCACTGGCGCCATCTGGTGAGCATGGACCGATACTGACTGAGCCCACAAGCCCAGTCATGAAGAAACATACTGCCTCGATCAGGGTTTCCCAAACTCAGTCCTGTTTGGCGACGAATATGTAGTGAGGGCCAGCCAATGAGAGCGTACAGGTCACAGTGGTGGGTAGTATATGGGGCTTTGGTGACAAAACGGATGGCACTGTGATAGACTACATCCAATTTGCTGAGTTGAGTGTTGGAAGCTATTTTGTAAATGACATTGCCAAAGTCAAGGATCGGTAGGATAGTCAGTTTTACGAGGGCATGTTTGGCAGCATGAGTGAAGGAGGCTTTGTTGCGAAATAGGAAGCCGATTCTAGATTTAACTTTGGATTGGAGATTCTTAATGTGAGTCTGGAAGGAGAGTTTACAGTCTAACCAGACACCTAGGTATTTGTAGTTGTCCACATACTCTAGGTCAGACCCGTCGAGAGTAGTGATTCTAGTCAGGTGGGCGGGTGCCACACAGTGTCCAATGAAGGTCCAGATGTATACAAAATGGTGTTGTCTGCGTAGAGGTGGATCTGAGAGTCACCAGCAGCAAGAGCGACATCATTGATATACACAGAGAAAAGAGTCGGACCGAGAATTGAACCCTGTGGCACCCCCATAGAGACTGCCATAGGTCCAGACAACAGGCCCTCCGATTTGACACAGCACTACACAGTTGATTCAAATAATCTAAGCTTGATGATGAGTTGGTTATTTGAATCAGCTGTGTAGTGCTAGGGCAAAACCCAAAACGTGCACCCGGGGAGGGGGGGGGGGGTATGGTATCTACTAGCAGAGTTAAAGAAACCCTCACCTAGAGCGCACACTACATTCACCATGGGAAATAGAGACTGAGGTGTGTGTGTGTGTGTGTGTGTGTGAGTGTGTGTGTGTGTGTGTGTGTGTGTGGTGTGAGTGTGAGTGTGAGTGTGAGTGTGTGTGTGTGTGTGTGTGTGTGTGTGTGTGTGTGTGTGTGTGTGTGTGTGTGTGTGTGTGTGTGTGTGTGTGTGTGTGTGTGCTGACCTTTGAAGACTCGTTTGACGTTGAGGGGGACGGTCTCCATGCACCGAGGCTTTGCCCCCCTCCAGACTGAAGCCCAGACCAGCTGACGTCTTCAGGAGCTCCGCCTTCAGAACCCCGTCAGGACCCACCTCCACTGGAACACACACAGGTAAACAATACCAAACAATTCTATTTTATAGCATGAATAGTCATGTAATATAATAATATATGCTATTTAGCAGACGCTTTTTTCCAAAGCGACTTACAGTCACACGTGCATATATTTTACGTAAGAGTGGTCCCGGGAATTGAACCCACATTCCTGGCGTTGCAAGCGCCATGCTCTGCCAACTGAGCCATACAGGGCCACTATAGGAACTGGAGTGTGATTATATGTATTAAAATCATTAATGATAATACGTTTGTGGTTAAGAGCGTTGTGCCAGTAACCGAAAGGTCGCTGGTTCTAATCCCCGAGCCGACTAGGTGAAAAATCTGTCGATGTGCCCTTGAGCAAGGAACTTAACCCTAATTGCTCCTGTAAGTCCCTCTGGATAAGAGCGTCTGCTAAATGACAAAAAAAAAATATATATACAGTGGGGAGAACAAGTATTTGATACACTGACGATTTTGCAGGTTTTCCTACTTACAAAGCATGTAAAGGTCTGTAAGTTTTATCATAGGTACACTTCAACTGTGAGAGACGGAATCTAAAACAAAAATCCAGAAAATCGCATTGTATGATCTTTAAGTAATTAATTTGCTTTTTATTGCATGACATAAGTATTTGATCACCTACCAACCAGTAAGAATTCCGGCTCTCACAGACCTGTTAGTTTTTCTTTAAGAAGCCCTCCTGTTCTCCACTCATTACCTGTATTAACTGCACCTGTTTGAACTCGTTACCTGTATAAAAGACACCTGTCCACACACTCAATCAAACAGACTCCAACCTCTCCACAATGGCCAAGACCAGAGAGCTGTGTAAGGACATCAGGGATAAAATTGTAGACCTGCACAAGGCTGGGATGGGCTACAGGACAATAGGCAAGCAGCTTGGTGAGAAGGCAACAACTGTTGGCGCAATTATTAGAAAATGGAAGAAGTTCAAGATGATGGTCAATCACCCTCGGTCTGGGGCTCCATGCAAGATCTCACCTCGTGGGGCATCAATGATCATGAGGAAGGTGAGGGATCAGCCCAGAACTACACGGCAGGACCTGGTCAATGACCTGAAGAGAGCTGGGACCACAGTCTCAAAGAAAACCATTAGTAACACACTACGCCGTCATGGATTAAAAATCCTGCAGCGCACGCAAGGTCCCCCTGCTCAAGCCAGCGCATGTCCAGGCTCGTCTGAAGTTTGCCAATGACCATCTGGATGATCCAGAGGAGGAATGGGAGAAGGTCATGTGGTCTGATGAGACAAAAATTGAGCTTTTTGGTCTAAACTCCACTCGCCGTGTTTGGAGGAAGAAGAAGGATGAGTACAACCCCAAGAACACCATCCCAACCGTGAAGCATGGAGGTGGAAACATCATTCTTTGGGGATGCTTTTCTGCAAAGGGGACAGGACGACTGCACCGTATTGAGGGGAGGATGGATGGGGCCATGTATCACGAGATCTTGGCCAACAACCTCCTTCCCTCAGTAAGAGCATTGAAGATGGGTCGTGGCTGGGTCTTCCAGCATGACAACGACCCGAAACACACAGCCAGGGCAACTAAGGAGTGGCTCCGTAAGAAGCATCTCAAGGTCCTGGAGTGGCCTAGCCAGTCTCCAGACCTGAACCCAATAGAAAATCTTTGGAGGGAGCTGAAAGTCCGTATTGCCCAGCGACAGCCCCGAAACCTGAAGGATCTGGAGAAGGTCTGTATGGTGGAGTGGGCCTAAATCCCTGCTGCAGTGTGTGCAAACCTGGTCAAGACCTACAGGAAACGTATGATCTCTATAATTGCAAACAAAGGTTTCTGTACCAAATATTAAGTTCTGCTTTTCTGATGTATCAAATACTTATGTCATGCAATAAAATGCAAATGAATTACTTAAAAATCATACAATGTGATTTTCTGGATTTTGAGGTTAGGATTGGGAGAGGAGAGGACTAGCCATTGGATAAGGGTTAGGGTTGGGAGAGGAGAGGAGAGGACTAGCCGTTGGATAAGGGTTAGGGTTGGGCGAGGAGAGGAGAGGACTAGCCGTTGGATAAGGGTTAGGGTTGGGCGAGGAGAGGAGAGGACTAGCCGTTGGATAAGGGTTAGGGTTGGGAGAGGAGAGGAGAGGACTAGCCGTTGGATAAGGGTTAGGATTGGGAGAGGAGAGGAGAGGACTAGCCGTTGGATAAGGGTTGGGAGAGGAGAGAACTAGCCCAGACAAGTTTGTCCCTGACTGACTCACTGTCCTCGGGCGGCTCCCACACAACATCTTCCGACAAGACAAGACAGGATCAGACAGGACAGGACAGGACAGGGGCTTGGTAATACTCACGCTCTCAGAGTGTGTCTGTGTGTGTCTTAAGGCTACAACACTCAGGGTTCTTCTCTTTACTAAACTATACTAGACTGTTGTTTGTGTTTCTCCGAGCAAAACCGTTAACAGAAATGGGAACTGTTCAATTTAATCTACCCAGGGCTTTAACCAAGCCTTTAGTTGACATAATGTTTTTTTTCTTTGCACATGGCACATACAGTGGGGAGGGCCGGAATTCTTACTGGTTGGTAGGTGATCAAATATTTATGTCATGCAATAAAATGCAAATGAATTACTTAAAAATCATACAATGTGATTTTCTGGATTTTTGTTTTAGATTCCGTCTCTCACAGTTGAAGTGTACCTATGATAAAAATTACAGACCTCTACATGCTTTGTAAGTAGGAAAACCTGCAAAATCGGCAGTGTATCAAATACTTGTTCTCCCCACTGTATATATATATATTTTTGGTTAAAGGCCCAGTGCAGTCAAAAACATGATTTTCCTGTGTTTTATATATATTTCCACACTATGAGGTTGGAGTAATACTGTGAAATTGTGAAAATGATGATAATGTCCTTTTAGTGTAAGAGCTGTTTGAAAAGACCACCTGAAATTTCAGCCTATTTTGGTGGGATGGAGTTTTGTCCTAACTGGTGACATCACCAGGAGGTAAATTAGTTAATAGCCCAATTAGAAAGAGTTCCAAAACTCTTTCAAAATTTCAGATAGTTTTCAGTTTTCCCCTCCCCATTCAGACCACTCCCAGACAGTCCTAGCAGAATTCTTACTTGAGAAATTGCTCTTTGCTAAGAATATAATATATAATATAATATGCCATTTAGCAGACGCTTTTATCCAAAGCGACTTACAGTCATGCGTGCATACATTTTTACGTATGGGGGGTCCCGGGGATCGAACCCACTACCCTGGCGTTACAAGCGCCATGCTCTACCAATTGAGCTACAGAGGACCACAATTGAGCTACAGAGGACCACAGAGGACCACCAAGAAGCTATTTTGATTTATTTTTGACCATTTTAATTGTAAAACAATCACAGTAAGGTACTTAATTGTTACTCAGAAATCATTTGACATTGAGATAAAAACGTCTGCATATTACCTTTAATGTACATGCAAAATGGCTTACAAATGCATTACTTCTCAATTTCACAGACAATCTCCTCTATTCTCTCCTCTACCTCTACAGTGCAAGTGTCCTCTGGATTAATAATAATAATAATAATAATAATATGCCATTTAGCAGACGCTTTTATCCAAAGCGACTTACAGTCATGCGTGCATACATTTTTTTTGTGTATGGGTGGTCCCGGGGATTGAACCCACTACCTTGGCGTTACAAGCGCCGTGCTCTACCAGCTGAGCTACAGAGAACCACATTACTGTCCCTCCCAGTCCCAGTCCCATACCTGGTCTAGCCGTCTCAGGCTCGTTCTCTCTGCACCCCAGGGAGTAGCTTCGTCCTATGTGGTGGGACAGGTCATGGTGTCTCGGGGACATCTGTCTTTCACTGTCCTTCCCCCTGTGAAGGACCACCAGGGCATGAGTGGACAGTCTAGCCTGGTGGAGACAGGACAGGGCTTCTCCGTGGGAAGTCCCCTCCAAGCTTCTGCCGTTGATGGACAGGACGCTGTCCCCCCGCTGAATAGTCCCTTCCAGGCCAGCCACGCCATTGGAGAAGACACGATGGACCTGGCCAATCACAGCGCAGTGGGTGGAGTTAAGATGAAGAACATGTTCAACATTGAAGGGAGATGAAAACATTTGCAGGGCCTAGTGAAAGTCTACACACCTCTTACACAGTTGTCACATTTTGCTGCCTTAAAATGTCATCTAAAAAGGAATTAAAGGGGAAAATCTACAAAAAATAATAGACTTTCTGTCACAGCGAACATTCTACATTCGGGAAGTCCAATCGATTGTGCGATATGGCATATACCTTTTTATGTGATACTTTTGGCTTGTGGTTGATAATTTGACCTTTTCGGAGATCTCTGCCAAGCAAGGAGGAAAACGCACGCTGGCTTACTGCCCATGCCAGAACACGAGGGGACTCATAAACACAACCATCTGGCAGTTTTCACTACAGAGGACTTCAGCACGTCACCCAACACAACACGCCTTTTAACTGTATAGTCAGAAACATCATCAGCCTATTTCATTTCTCTCTTTCAATGGTCTGGAAACCATGCTGTGCTCTAAAGGTGGCATCCTAGCCACACATTACAATATCATCGTCGATCTGATCAGAAACACTGTGCTCACAACCTTTATCTCCTAAATGATGTCGCTGTTTGGGAATATATTGCACAATAGGCTATAAGGTTTTTTACCAGGTGCAAACACACACAACGAGCTCAATAAATGTACACTGAAGAAAAGTTTCACCTTCTTAGATAACAAAATATCCTCCTAACTTATATAATTCCATGTGTCCGCCATTTTGTCTTTATAAACTTTCACACAGCCAATTCCATGAACTGAGGTAATCAAATCAGCAACTCTACAGCTGTTGATGGCAGTGATCATCATTCATCACGTATGCTATATATAATCAATACTTGCTATATATACACTGAGTGTATAAAACATTAGGAACACCTTCCTAATATTGAGTTGCACCCCCTTTTGCCCTTAGAACAGTCTCAATTCGTCGGGGCGTGGACTCTACAAGGTGTCGAAAGCGTTCCACAGGGATGCTGGCCCCATGTTGACTTCAATGCTTCCCACGGTTGTGGTCAAGTTGGCTGGATGTCCTTTGGGTGATGGACCATTGTTGATACACATGGGAAACTGTTGAGCGTGACAAACTCAGCAGCGTAGCAGTTTTTGACACACTCAAACCAGTGTGCCTGGCACCTACTACCATACCCCGTTCAAAGGCACTTAAATGTTGTGTCTTGCCCATTCACCCTCTGAATGGCACACATACACAATCCATGTCTTGAAACCCCACCTCTTTAAGGAATACCTGGAATAGTATAAAGTAATCCTACTACCTCCCCTCTTACCCCACAAAAAAAAAAAGAAGAAAAAAAGTGGTTATCCCACTGGCTATAAGGTGAATGCACCAATTTGTAAGTCGCTCTGGATAAGAGCGTCTGCTAAATGACGTAAATGTAAATGTAAAAAATGTCTCAATTGTCTCAAGGCTTAAAAATCCTTCTTTAACCTGTCTCCTCCCCTTCATCTACACTGATTTGAAGTGGATTTAACAAGTGCTTTCAATAAGGGATCATAGCTTTCACCTGGATTCACCTGGTCAGTCTATGTCATGGAAAGAGCAGGTGTTTGTAGACTCAGTGTAGAACCAATACACAAGGAGGGCAAACACGTTTTGTTGATTTCTGGCATATCATCAAAATAAATCAATCACAGCACATTTTTCAGGCACCACACCCTCATAGGGTAATTTTTTCCCCTTAATCATATAACAATACACTTTTACCAGTTGAATATAGACACAAATATATTAAACATTTTATAAAATATGTTATTAAAATATGCAAATGAGGTGATATTCATTAAATATGTACATATTTGCATATCATGCAAATCCATTTTTTTCTGGACACTGGATGAAGTCAGTCTACATTTTTTGGTTTCATTTTGTTAAGACACTCCAGGACCGGACTTGTCCAGAGCAGATTGTGGATAAATACTTTTTTAATCTTTCTATCTGTAAAATACTAAAGAAATGCATTTTTGGTGCATTTTCCAAAGAAAAACAATTTAGAGATAAAAAAAATGCTCCTAAGCACAATTTACCAGGAGCTCTAGACTGTCCATATGGTCTGTGCAGCAGGAGTAGGGCATTTGATGCAAACATATAAGAATACTTTTTCCATTTTATAAAATGTGTCTGCATGATCACATTCTATTGCTCGCTCGAGGAAATCTGGCCCTGGCCTGCAAACGAAAATCTCCTGCGTCATTTTGTAAAAGATTGTCAAACATAGTCTACCGATTTGAAAATGTTTAATTTAGGCTCATAGCAAATGTAATAATAGCATATTTGATCTATCCCAATGAAAAATTGGACAGTGAGCATAAATCACATTTTTGATAGAGGCCTGCATCGGTGTCTAGGCTAGGATAGGTTCGCTTACAGCTGGCTAATGTAGGACATCTACAATCTAATGAAAACATTTGTTACATACATTTGCCTTTTAGCCCATAACTGTCATTCTATAAAGTGGACGTTATGTTGAACACTCACTAGTCTTTCCCTCTCATTTTAATAGATATATTTTGCCATAATGATCTGATCACACCGTGCAACAAACGATGTAGCCTACACTCAGAGACGGAAGATGGACAATGTTGATTGGCAGATGGATGTCCAATGGGGTAAAAGTGGGGGGGGGGGCTCCTTTTCTCTTTACTTGGCAGAGATCTCAGAAAAGGTCAAATTGAAAAACACGTGACCCAAGTTTATCACATAAAATGTAAATGCCATATCGCACAATCGATTTGCACAACCTGCTCCACACTTTCAAAGTGAAAGAAAAAGTATAGAACATTTTCTAAATTAATAAAAAATTAATACTTGGTGGAAGCACCTTTGGCAGCAATTACAGATGTACAGTGGCTTGCGAAAGTTTCACCACCCTAGGCATTTTTCCTATTTTGTTGCCTTACAACCTGGAATTAAAATAGATTTTGGGGGGGTTTGTATCATTTCATTTACACAACATGCCTACCACTTTGAAGATGCAAAATATTTATTGTGAAACAAACAAGAAATAAGACAAAAAAACATGAGCGTGCATAACTATTCACTCCCCCGAAAGTCAATACTTTGTAGAGCCACCTTTTGCAGCAATTACAGCTGCAAGTCTCTTGGGGTATGTTTTCTCTAAGCTTGGCACATCTAGCCACTGGGATTTTTGCCCATTCTTCAAGGCAAAACTGCTCCAGCTCCTTCAAGTTGGATGGGTTCCGCTGGTGTACAGCAATCTTTAAGTCATACCACAGATTCTCAGTTGGATTGAGGTCTGGGCTTTGACTAGGCCATTCCAAGATGAAAGGTGTTGGGCTTGCGCCAGACATAGCGTTTTCCTTGATGGCCAAAAAGCTCAATTTTAGTCTCATCTGACCAGAGTACCTTCTTCCATATGTTTGGGGAGTCTCCCACATGCCTTTTGGTGAACACCAAACGTGTTTGCTTATTTTTTTCTTTAAGCAATGGCTTTTTTCTGGCCACTCTTCCGTAAAGCCCAGCTCTGTGGAGTGTACGGCTTTGCAGCTCCTTCAGGGTTGTCTTTGGTCTCTTTGTTGCCTCTCTGATTAATGCCCTCCTTTCCTGGCCCAGTTTTGGTGGGCGGCCCTCTCTTGGCAGGTTTGTTGTGGTGTCTTTCAATTTTTTTTATAATGGATTTAATGGTGCTCCGTGGGATGTTCAAAGCTTCAGATGTTTTTTAATAACCCAACACTGATCTGTACTTCTCCACAACTTTGTCCCTGACCTGTTTGGAGAGCTCCTTGGTCTTCATGGTGCTGCTTGCTTGGTGGTGCCCCTTGCTTAGTGGTGTTGCAGACTCTGGGGCCTTTCAGAACAGGTGTATATATACTGAGATCATGTGACAGATCATGTGACACTTAGATTGCACACAGGTGGACTTTATTTAACTAATTATGTGACTTCTGAAGGTAATTGGTTGCACCAGATGTTATTTAGGGGCTTCATAGCAAAGGGGGTGAATACATATGCACGCACCACTTTTCCGTTATTTATTTTTTTGAATTTTTTGAAACAAGTTATTTTTTTCATTTCACTTCACCAATTTGGACTATTTTGTGTATGTCCATTACATGAAATTCAAATAAAAATCAATTTAAATTACAGGTTGTAATGCAACAAAATAGGAAAAACGCCAAGGGGGATGAATACTTTTGCAAGGCACTGTAAATAATTTTACAGCTGTAATTTTACAAACTTATTCAAAATGATTTATAGCTGTAATTGCTGCCAAAGTTGCTTGTGCAATGTGCAACAGGTTATGTAGATCTGTAGGATGAAAATCCAATGTAATTCCTTTTTAGCTAAATGTGACATTTTCAAATTAAAATAGATTCTAAAACAATATGCCACATTACATTGCTCAAATATCCAAATAGCTAAAATACACTACTGTACTTACAGAAATGGACTTCTGCTCAAGGTCCACTCCTCCAGCGATGCTGAAACCAAGTCCCGAGCCCTCTTCTTTGGAGAAGACTACAAAGTGGGTATCGTCTTTAACCTAGGGTAGGGGGGACCAGACGCAACACACACAGACACAGGAAGTGAGCTTTCAAGACAAGGATGAAAATACTTCAACACTGTCTTAGACATATCACTCCTCTCCTCTAGCCTCGTTCCGGATCTGTTAATGCCATGGTCATTGTCACGCCAAACACAGTGGTAAAGACAGCACAAATACATCTATGACCAGGCTAAAAAAGCAGTCGTTGGTTACCTCAGAGAGAGCCTTGGTCTCCTGTATCAGGGCCAACACGTCTGTCTTGGTGGTCAGCGTGGCCAGGACTGACTGCAGCTTACTCTGCTCCACCGGAGAGCCAGCCAGCACTGTCAAACTGGAGAGAAGACAGGAAACAGAACATTTAAATATGGGTTAGTATAGAAGTGACACTGCTTTACTCGTATGTGTGTGTCTGTCTGTATGTATGCACTCTTAGGGAAAGTTAAGTATTGGATATTTGAATCATATTGTAGAAAAAGAAAAATATAGAGATGGTTGGTGTTTTTACTCACCTGATGGACCAGTTGCTGAGATCTGTTTTCCCGTTGGTTTTCCCCTGGATGGGGTCCTGGCTGGCCTCAGCGTCGCTCCGGCTGGCCCTGGTCGGGGGCACCGCGGTGGGGGCAGCAGGCGGGGAACATCCCCTTGTCTGGTTCTGGAGGGCCTCTGTGGGCCTGGCTGGGTGGATCTCCAGCTCCGTCTTAAATGTGGCATTGGTCCCTGGGTTACTGGAGAAGTCATCGGTGTACAGCTTGTCCAGGTCGGGCATGCTAAGGGCCCTGAGCTCCCTCAGTCTGGACCGGGACAGGTTGGCGTGGACTCGGGTCTGGCGGCTCCGCATCACTTGGGGCGTCTGAGGGGTTAGGGTCACGACCCCTGGGGGCAATATCTTGGAGATTTCGCCGTCCGAGAGTTTGTCCCGTGTTTGTCCAAGTGGAGCTTCGCTGGCGCTGCAGCTTTGAGTCAAAAGGTCAAAGTTCGTGAGAGTCAGACTTGACGGCGACTTGCGAAGCTGAGGCGACAACGGGGTCAAGGGGGTTGAGACGTTAAAGTTGTCGACGCACGAGCTGAAGCTTCTTCGTAGCGAGCGGCAGTCCACGGAGCTCACCGATCCAGACATGTAGCCGGACAGTCTCCGGTTGAGAGGCGGCTTCAACGTTGCCATCAGAGCATAGGACTGAGCGTAGGACTGAATCTCGATGCATTTGAGCGCTGGCTTATCGAAGCTGGCCAGGTTCTCAAAGGACTTGATCCTCTGGCGGACAGAGAAGGGGTTGGGATCCCCGGGGGTGCTGTTGTCTGTGGAGAAACTACGGCGATCCATCGCCTTCAGTTTGGACTTGTTGGTTTTGAGGTTTTCCACAGCCATATCTGTTAGACAGGAGTTTCTGAGAGAGATGTTTATGATACCATCGTTTATAGGCAAAGGAACCACATCTACGGATTCTAGGACTATTGAGTTCACTGCTGAATCATTTGTAGTGTTGTCGACCTTTTCTAGAGCACACACAGAGCCAGGGGGTGCAGGAGCAGCAGGCCTGAGATTGGTCTCTACTGCACTTCCATTGACCTGTTCTTTGTGTGACGTAATATCTGGGATATGAGTATTTTGAGTTATTGAGTAATTCTTTGAATTCACAGTTTCCTTTCGCGTCAGAACTGGCGTAGACGACGAGGAGGAAGGAAGAGTAGAAGAGGAAGATGAGAGTCGCACCTCAATGAAAGTCCTCTGGGTAGTTGGGACTGGCTCCGGTTGTTCCTTGGACGTAGCAGTAGCTGGAGTCACCTGCTCCTCTTTGTTAGGGTGAAGCTCCGACTTGGTCCTGGTGGCTGACTGTGCTGCCTCCAGCATGGTAGTGGTTGTGGGGTTGGACTTGGTCCTGGCGGCTGACTGTGCTGCCTCCAGCATGGTAGTGGTAGTGGGGTTGGACTTGGTCCTGGCGGCTGACTGTGCTGCCTCCAGCATGGTAGTGGGGTTGGACTTGGTCCTGGCGGCTGACTGTGCTGCCTCCAGCATGGTAGTGGTTGTGGGGTTGGACTTGTCCTGGGCTCGGTCACCTGGTTTGGGCGAGGCGGGGATCCTGCTACTGATGCTGCTAGTCTTTAAGCTGCTAGATGAGGCTGCTGCCTTTCTGGTTAGCAGAGGAGAGTCTACCTTCTTGGCTTGCAGTTTGGGGGACTGGAGCGGGGCAGTTTTGCTTGCTTTCCCCAGTGCCGCCGGACTTTCGGCTCTGGCTGGTTTCGGGGAAAGCTGCTGTTGCTGGGTTTTGTTTTGACTCTTGATGCTGAGCCCCTTCAGTTTAGGCGCAGTGCTGCTGGTCTTCTGGACTTTGTCATTGACTCTGAGCCTGCTGCTACTGCTGGACAGAGGGATGTCTGTTGAAGTGTGGTTGACTGATTTGGGACCTGATGTCCTGAGACAGGGACTAGTAGGGTTATTCTGGACCAACCTGGGTTCCAGGGAAGTCGAGGAAACGTTCTCTCTCTCCCTGTCTCTTGTCGTTGTTAGCGATGGTCTCGAAGCGCCAGATCTACTATAGTTGGAGGGCATTGCCTTCACCGCCGTTGAGTGGCATGCTGCTGCTGCTGCTGATGATGATGATGATGATGATGATGCTGCTGATGATGGTGATGATGGTGATGTACTATTAGATAGTTTACCTAAAGTCGGCCTGGCAGTCCTCTCCGGACTCTGTGGGGTGACGCTGTGGCTAGCTGCTACAACACTTAGAGAAGGTGCCTGGCTGGGTTTCATCACAGGTGTAACAATGTTGCTGCCACTAACCCCATTGGCAACGCATTCTGAAGTCCCTGCAGGTCCTGGAGTGGGTACAGAATCTGTGTCCTTGGAAGACTGGCGGGAAACCATTTGGCAAGGGGAAGCCTTGGACTCCACAGCCAAACAGGCACCTGAGGACTGAGAGCCAGATATACCCTGAGACAGCGAGGGGGATGCGTTAGGGTTGGATTGGGTTGTTGTTACCACAGAGCAGTCTTTGTCTTTGGTTTGCTGAGAGGCAGCATCAGGGTGAGTAGCAGCCGTCATAGTAGCAGCAGAAGTGGCAGAAGCAGCAGAGTCTAGTGCTACATCAAAGGGCCCAGACTCCTTTGTATAGTGGCTGCCGTCAGAGGCAGAGATAGAGAGCTGGGGAGACAATGGCCCATCTGTTAGGTGAGTCAGCTCAGCCTGGCTCAGAGTGCCGGGCCGCTGGGCCTCACTGTAACAAATCTCCACTTCCTCTTCATCAGAATCTGTGTCCTGGGGTTCAGTGCCGACACCGCGGCTCCCCGGTTTGTTATCGCCGGCAGCGCCAATGGGGCTGTCGTCGGTGACGGTGTCTTCGCTCTCTGAATCGCTGTCATCGACCAGGTCGTACATGTGGCTCTTCGAGGCGGCTGAGGCACCAGGGGGGTTTCTCCACCCCGTTTGAAAGAGCATCGTCTGTGAGATTACTGCTAAAGTTTCTGGAGTAATTGTTCAAGAATGTTTTACCCACCACAGGCAAGAGGCAACCTTTGTTTCCAGAATCCAAGACCGAGAAGTCCAACTGACTGGGCCGTGTTGGAGGGGTCTGAACATTACTTCTGTCTTTCTCTGGCAGGGCCTTGCTGTCTAGAGCTGACTCGCAGGATGTAGTCTCAGTACGTTGTGCTTCTGAAGGGGCTTTGGGGGTTTTGGAAGAGAGGGCACTCTTAACATCGGAGGAGCTTAGTTCGGTTATGATGTCATCGATGTAGGTGACAGGTATATCACTGCTAAGGTTGTGGTTGGTCGGGGCTGTGGGTTTGAGATTGTGATTTGTTGCTGAGGAGGAGGAGGAGGAGGAGGAGGAGGAGGGGATTCCTGGATTTGGAGCACCCCCATTGGCCTCCTGGGGAGTTCTAGACTGATCCAGTTTCGAGGGTTCGATGACATCACAACTCCCCAATGACATCATAAGGCTGGAGAGGCGATCTACAGCTGTGGGAGGAAGAGATTGCTTAATGAATTAAAGAGGCAGTGAGACATTTTTTGTTCAATACAACTTTGCATTATAAGTTGCTCTTATACCACATTGTTGTTACCTTAATTTAGTAACTGGAATGCTACGTAACAACATATTAAAACGAAACACCATTTTTTTTACATAACAGAACAACTAGGTTCCTCAGTCTCTCCAGATGTTCATTCTTCAACTGAATAAGACACCATCATTCATCTCAATGAACCTCATGTCATCAAGCCACTGTAAACCATACGAGAGAGAGTGGAAAACTGAGCGATGGGACACCAGTGTTTAATGGGATAGTCATTAATAAATCATGTGACCTAATGCACCAATAACGTCAAGCAAACCAGGAGGTGAGCTGACATATCGGTTCTGTTTTTAGATATCAACATTCCTCCTATCCTCCGCCAGCGTATACTTTCCCACTGAGTTGGTTTTCTGACATTAAATGGAAGCTTCTGAGGATCGAACCAGCAGCCTCTGTTTGGTCTACAGCCCAGCAGAACCAGCAGCCCATGTTTGGTCTACAGCCCAGCAGAACCAGCAGCCCATGTTTGGTCTACAGCCCAGCAGAACCAGCAGCCCCTGTTTGGTCCACAGCCCAGCAGAACCAGCAGCCCCTGTTTGGTCTACAGCCCAGCAGAACCAGCAGCCCCTGTTTGTTCCACAGCCCAGCAGAAGCAGGTCCAGTATTCAAAAAGCGTCTCAGATTAGTAGTGCTGATCCAGGAACAGGTCCCCCCTGTCCATATAGTCATATTCATTATGATCTAAAAGGCAAAACTGATCCTGAGAAAAATGTATGATCGTGTTGATGTAGATCCCAATGTAGAAATCGAATGTATTATGTATGCATGGGTAGCAGGAAAGCACATACAGACAAGGACATACAGACAAGGACATACAGACAAGGACATACAGACAAGGACATACAGACAAGGACATACAGACAAGGACATACAGACAAGGACATACAGACAAGGACATACATTTACATGTACATTTTTAGTCATTTAGCAGACGCTCTTATCCAGAGCGACTTACATACAGGCAAGGACATACAGTTAGGCTACTCTTCTTTAAATTAGGTTGGTTGGTGTTCTTGCTGTGAGCGCTCATGTTGTCACATAAAGTCACCTTTCTAAATCTAAGACAGGTCAAGACCCATATTAGAAATTGACCGTCCTCCCGTGGCCCAAATCAAGAAGAAATAATGTGTGATTATAGATGTATTCTCATCATAACTCGCCACCCACCTCTCACATGCCCAGGGACCACTTTGGGTCCCGACCCATAGTTTAAGAAACCCTGATTCATAGGAATCCATATTTATCTGTGACCAACCATAAGCAACTCACAGCAATCCCGCCACGTCCCAAAACAACAAGAAATAAGCTATGCAGAAAACTACACAAATCTAACGTTGGCTAGCTAAAGAAAGCTAACAGCTAATGCAAGCTAACAAAGTGGGTAGCGGCGGGGGGGACTCCCTACAAAAACTCTACTACTGGGCAGCTTCTAGTCACTACTGAGGTAAATGAATGGATAGTCACCATGGATACAAAGCCAGCAGCGTGCTGTTCCCTTTGGGGTGCAGGGTTAGGGTACTGCCAGCAGGGGGCAGACTGCTGAGCCAGCTGAGATCTTACGTCTTAGGGAAGGCAGCGTTAGGGAGGAGGGGGAGGTGGGGGAGGTGGGGGAGAGACAGACTCTTCTCTTAATGACTGCTGGAGTGGAGTGATCAGACACTTTAAAAGGATAGTTCATTTTTGTCAAGTTTGAGCTAATCTTCGACTGGGGTGTCGTCATTCAAGTGAACTATCCTTTAAAAAAAAAAAAAGGGTTCCTGCCTCCCTTCCTTGAGGTATCCCTGATCGTTGATGTTGTTCTGATGTTGATTGGATACGTGATGTTATATCAGTGATAAATGATAAGGAAATTCTTCAAAGTGTTCAAACACCACCCCAGGTTAGGGCTGATGAGCTCCTGTTATGGTGGTGGACAGTTGTTATTGGTTTGTAATGTCATGCAGTTAGTATTGAGGCGGAAACAGCCCAAGAGCCCTGTTCAGCTGTTATGATGGGGATGACATAACATGATATGACAGGTTATGACGACCACCCATCGATGCTACTGAGGGGTAACTCCATGTTTGTTATGTTTTCGTGATTTAGTGTCAGTTATTTAAAAAAAAAACCTGAAGAGGTGGTTGTCATATGGCAGATATGATGTCATTGCATGACAGTGTTATAAAGTCTTGATGTCAAATTACAGGTTGTTTGATTCACAGGGTGAGTGCTCGGGGGAATGGCTTGTTAATAGTGCTTAGTGAAGGTTGATTCACAGGGTGAGTGCTGGGGGGAATGGCTTGTTAATAGTGCTTAGTGAAGGTTGATTCACAGGGTGAGTGCTGGGGGGGGAATGGCTTGTTAATAGTGCTTAGTGAAGGTTGATTCACAGGGTTGAGTGCTGGGGGAATGGCTTGTTAATAGTGCTTAGTGAAGGTTGATTCACAGGGTGAGTGCTGGGGGAATGGCTTGTTAATAGTGCTTAGTGAAGGTTGATTCACAGGGTGAGTGCTGGGGGGGGAATGGCTTGTTAATAGTGCTTAGTGAAGGTTGATTCACAGGGTGAGTGCTGGGGGAATGGCTTGTTAATAGTGCTTAGTGAAGGTTGATTCACAGGGTGAGTGCTGGGGGAATGGCTTGTTAATAGTGCTTAGTGAAGGTTGATTCACAGGGTGAGTGCTGGGGGAATGGCTTGTTAATAGTGCTTAGTGAAGGTTGATTCACAGGGTTAGTGCTCGGGGGGGAATGGCTTGTTAATAGTGCTTAGTGAAGGTTGATTCACAGGGTGAGTGCTGGGGGAATGGCTTGTTAATAGTGCTTAGTGAAGGTTGATTCACAGGGTGAGTGCTGGGGGGAATGGCTTGTTAATAGTGCTTAGTGAAGGTTGATTCACAGGGTGAGTGCTCGGGGGGGAATGGCTTGTTAATAGTGCTTAGTGAAGGTTGATTCACAGGGTGAGTGCTGGGGGAATGGCTTGTTAATAGTGCTTAGTGAAGGTTGATTCACAGGGTGAGTGCTGGGGGGAATGGCTTGTTAATAGTGCTTAGTGAAGGTTGATTCACAGGGTTAGTGCTCGGGGGGGAATGGCTTGTTAATAGTGCTTAGTGAAGGTTGATTCACAGGGTGAGTGCTGGGGGAATGGCTTGTTAATAGTGCTTAGTGAAGGTTGATTCACAGGGTTAGTGCTCGGGGGGGAATGGCTTGTTAATAGTGCTTAGTGAAGGTTGATTCACAGGGTGAGTGCTGGGGGGAATGGCTTGTTAATAGTGCTTAGTGAAGGTTGATTCACAGGGTGAGTGCTGGGGGAATGGCTTGTTAATAGTGCTTAGTGAAGGTTGATTCACAGGGTGAGTGCTGGGGGAATGGCTTGTTAATAGTGCTTAGTGAAGGTTGCCTCTACGTGCCGTAGTCTCACCTGACACGGGCCTCTTGACCTCCAGCGTGAGCGTCACAGGAAGGTTGTGCATGAGCTCACAGATGTCGTGATAGGACGACGAGCTGACGGGAGTGTCCCCAATCGACACGATCTCATCTCCCCACACACATCCTGCCCTGGGATTCCTGCAACCAGGTCATAAGGGTCACAGGTCATAAGGGTCACAGGTCAAAAGGGACAGTGTATGAGGTCATAAAAAGGGGACAGTGTACAGATCCAATAAATCATGATGTTATGTAATGGTTGGTGAAGACATTAGGGCCAGGAACAGGCAGCCAGTGTTATAGTCAATAGAGGATTTTAGGACTGTACTGTACGGCAGTTAGATACATATTGTCTGGCTGGTTTACTCCTTATGCCAGTGGTGGTTAACCTGGTTGATTTGTGATGTCTGTGTAGACATCAGCCTGGAATCCAAACTGATATGGCGAAATATCAGTTTGGATTTCAGGCTGGGAAGACGGTAGATGTACCCTTTCGGCCGCTCCTCCAGGCCTCAGTCCTGTGATCACCACCTTCAGAGGAGACGACTTGATCTCCAGGTCCATACCGAAGGACTCCTCCTCACTCCTCCTCAGGACCACCCTGTTGATGGTGCAGACCCCCGCCAGCTCGCTGAAGGCCCCGCCCTTCTTACAGAGGGGGTCGGGGTTAGACCCAGGCCGGCCCAGGGAGCGGCTGGAGGCTACCCCGGGCTGCGGGGCCAGAGACTGGGAGGATGGGGAGGTCGGAGACTCCTCTCCTTTGGGTCTCTGGTTCTGGTTCTGCTGGTTGGTTGGCAGGATGGGCGGGGCCTCGATACTCATCATACTCTTGACGCGGGCCACAGCCTTGTGTTCCAGCTTAGGGGAGCGCCTGGGCTCCAGGGGGCCCTGAGGGTCCTTCCTCACACCCAGGTTAGTGGGGCCTGTGGTGGGGCTATTCCCTGCTTCCCCGGGCAGGAAGGGCGATTCGGTGCCGGAGGAAGGAACACCGCCGACTCCTTCCTCCGACTCCGGAGAGCTTCTGTAGAGCGGGGTGATTGGTCCCTCGCTCTCCTCCTCCACCTCAACGGGTGATGTAGCAATCACGGTGCCGGAGTCAGCAAGTACCCCAGGGGCAGTACCATGACCAGCCACCAGGTGGAAGGGCGGAGTCACTAGAGAAAGAGAGAGAACGAGAGAGAGAGAGAGAGAGAGAGAGAGAGAGAAAGAGAGAGCGAGAGAGAAAGAAAGAGAGAGCGAGAGAGAGAGAGAGAGAGAGAGAGAGAGAGAGAATGAAAGGAGAGGGTTTAATGCACATCCAACTGATGCACAGAAACTGAACAAAAATATCCAATCAAACAATTCCCAAAAAGTGATCTCTTCATAAAATAGGTGAGACAAATACAACATTTCGAGTCAACCACACCAACACGATGTTTCGACCAACACAAACCTCACCTGCTTCGTCCTCATCGCTGATCTCATCCTCATAGCAGATGACCCGTCTCTGTCGGAGCAGTGGGCTGCGGACAGAGCTGCTACCAGGACTACCCACACTGGGCTGGTGCTGGGTGGTCTCCACCGGACGGTTTACCACCGGGACACCGGGGGCCTTAACGTCTGCTCCGACCTCCCCTACCACACACGAGCCATCTTTAAATCCTGCCACCAGAGGAGATACACGGAGAAGGACATGCCATAACGGTTACAAGAACGTTTGGCGAAAAGGTGTTTTTGACCATATAACTGGATGTTCATTCATTGGAACATCCCTAGTAACCCTGGACTACGGGTAGTAGACTGTACTATGTGGCTGTGTAGAGGGGTAGTAGACTGTACCATGTGGCTATGTAGAGGGGTAGTAGACTGTACCATGTGGCTGTGTAGAGGGGTAGTAGACTGTACCATGTGGCTATGTAGAGGGGTAGTAGACTGTACCATGTGGCTGTGTAGAGGGGTAGTAGACTGTACCATGTGGCTGTGTAGAGGGGTAGTAGACTGTACTATGTGGCTGTGTAGGGGGGTAGTAGACTGTACCATGTGGCTGTGTAGGGGGGTAGTAGACTGTACCATGTGGCTGTGTAGGGGGGTAGTAGACTGTACCATGTGGCTGTGTAGAGGGGTAGTAGACTGTACCATGTGGCTGTGTAGAGGGGTAGTAGACTGTACCATGTGGCTGTGTAGAGGGGTAGTAGACTGTACCATGTGGCCGTGTAGGGGGGTAGTAGACTGTACTATGTGGCTGTGTAGGGGAGGTGTCGTCTATCGAGGTGTTGCAGCTCCTGTGGTGGAGCATGTCGTCATCACTGGAGCCCATTGCCATGGTTTCTGACAGCGATGAATGACTGGTCACTTCCTGGGAAAAGTACTGAGATAGCTCCGCCTCCGAACTCAGTGACCCTTGCTGCAGGGAGGGAGGGAGAGAGAGAGAGAGAGAGAGAGAGAGAGAGAGAGAGAGAGAGAGAGAGAGAGAGAGAGAGAGAGAGAGAGAGAGAGACAGAGATAGAGAGAGACAGAGAGAGAGAGAGGAGAGAGATAGAAGAGAGAGAGATAGAGAGAGAGAGAGAGAGAGAGAGAGAGGAGAGATTGATTGATGTGTAGACTGGTGATGTGTCGACTATGACTAGTGATGATAGCCTGTTGGGGAACCTTGAGACTGTAGTAATTACAATACCAATAGAAGTAAAACTGGCTTGATTGATTGATTCATGGACTGATGTATGGATGGATGGATGGATGGATGGATGTGTTGATTGATTGACTGATAAAGATGGCACGGATGAAGAAGGGCAACATCTTACGAGTTCCAACCCAACTTTGTTTGTTGGAGAGGTAACTCGTACCTCCACATTGATCTGGTGCTGGTACTTCCTGTATGTAGCTCCATTCTTGTGTATTTTATTGTATTCCTCTTGTTACTATTATATTCACTATTATTTATTTCTTTAAACTCTGCATCATTGGGAAGGGCTTGTAAGCATTTCACGGTAAAGTCTGCACCAGTTGTATTCGGTGCATGTGACAAATAACATTGGATTTTGATTTGACTCTTTGATATATTGATTGACAGGTAGCATAGCGTACCCTGCTAGCGGGCTCCAGGAACCTCTTCATGGTCCAGCTGAGGGACGAGCCATTTCCCTGTTTGGCCTTCACCGTAGGGGAGGGGCTCTTAGAGGGCAGACCTAGAGGTCAGAGGTCAGAGGATACAGGTTAGAGCAACGTTCACTCAATCACTCCAATGTAAATATCTTTATCAAACACAACTGACTATGATTCCAGGTGAGAGAGAGAGAGAGAGAGAGAGAGAGAGAGAGAGAGAGAGAGAGAGAGAGAGAGAGAGAGAGAGAGAGAGACAGAGACAGAGACAGAGACAGAGACAGAGACAGAGACAGACAGAGAGAGAGAGAGAGAGAGAGAGAGAGACAGAGAGAGAGGTAGAGAGAGAGAGAGAGAGAGAGAGAGAGAGAGAGAGAGAGAGAGAGAGAGAGAGAGAGAGAGAGAGAGAGAGAGAGAGAGAGGTGCTGCTGCTGTCTCCCACTAAGGAGGGGTTACAGCAGCATCTAGATCATCTGCACAGGTTCTGTCAGACCTGGGCTCTGACCGTTAACCTAAAGAAAATGAATATAATGATATTCCAAAAGAGGTCCGGAAATCAGGATCACAAATACTAATTCTATTTGGACACAGGTCTATTAGAACACACCAAAAACTACACATATCCTGGACTAAATATCAGCAACACAGGTATCTTTCACATGGCTGTGAATGAGCTGAGAGACAGGAACATTAAAATCAAAATTCCAATTAGAATCTGGCTCAAAATGTCCCAATCAGTTGTAGAACCAATTGCTCTATATGGCAGAGAAGTAGGGGACAAATGGGACAAACATCTGCATGCAGAGTTTTGCAAGACTATTGCAAGTGCAAAGAAAAACTTGAATAGAAAAAAGAGCCATCAAATTTTACAACCATCTAAAAACAAGTGACCCCAAAACATTTAATCACACAAGAGATGAAACAAGAGAAGAGTCCCCTCAGCCAGCTGGTTCTGAGGCTCAGTTCACTAACCCAAACCGACCCCATAGTGCCTCAAGACATCACTCAGAAAATCTGGCCCAACCAGATCATCACAAAGCAAAAAGAAAAATATATCACCTATTGGAAAGACACCACAAAAAATCAAAGTAAACTTCAATGCTATTTGGCTCTAAACAGACAGTACATGGTGGAAGACTATCTGACCACTGTGACTGATAGAAAACTGAGGAGAACAATGACTAGGTACAGACTCAGTGAGCACAGTCTGGCTATAGAGACCGGTCGTCACAGGCAAACCTGGCTGCCCAGAGAGGACAGGCTGTGCTCACTCTGCCCCCGGGGAGAGGTAGAGACAGAGCTGCATTTCCTACTACACTGTGACAAATACTCAGACCTAAGAGAATCTTTCTTTTCCAAA